GCGGAAGCAGCATCTGTGAACACAGCATCTATGAGCAGTATCCGGGAATTCCAGATCCCAGAACAAAGCCTTTAGGCCATCTCATCAGCTTGAAGGTGAGATGGTACCTTTATTTCTTAAGCAAATACTTAGCACCAGGCCACACTGGGACTGCAGCATTGAACGAGTTGGTCATGGCATGCCCACCGCATTAGCCAGTGACCAAATTAGGGTCAACTTCTTGTCACAGAATCTCTCCTCAAGGAGAACTCCCATAGGAAAGAAAATACGCAGTTATTTCAACAGAGGCTAAAAACATCTTGGGGACAGGGAGATGAGGAGTACTTGTGAGTGAGCTTTTAATACCAAAGGACACCAAAGAGGAGTCCTGCTTTATTGAATTAAATTTCACTGTTCTAGATGCTGAAATGCTCTTGGAACATTTTATCTTTCTCTCTACTTTCTGTTCTCTTAATGCTCCTTAAGTTAGATTTTGGGGTATGGATTCTCTCACAGGGGTATATTTACTTCCATTTTCCAGACTGAACCAAAATTTTTCTGCAGAATCTCCTACCAAGTATAGGGAGACCGTTTAGAAGGTCACAAGGCTTTGGAATATGAATGTCTTGTTAGAGAGCACGTCATCTTCGAAGGGAGTCTTTGGCCCTGCGCTTAGGAACATAGCAAGTGTGATATATGATACTTTTCCTCCAGCCCAGAGAGGAAAAGAGAAGAGAAAATGGAAAAAATAATCCCCTTCCCCAGGGCAGATGAATGGGAATGGTTACCACTAATCAGATGGCCCCATTTTTAACCCATGAAAAGTGCAAAGATGTGCCCATAGCAAGAGGTTGGTGTGTACACTCATGCCCTAGAGTGAGGAAAGGTGGGGCCAGCTGTGGTCCAAAGGCCACTTAGGTCAGATCTTGAGATTAGCACATTTGAGTGGAGATTTCTTATGCGCCACTTCAAACCCACTAATTCTGAATCTCTGGGAGTAAAGTCAGAAAGTCTGCATTTTCCACAAGCTACCGGAGTTATTCTGTTAAGCCACTGCTGCAAAGGAATCATTCAGCTAACCTTGGACTTTGAGCTATCTCTAAGCCATGAAAGAATTTGTAGGGAGGGAAGATGGTTCAAAGTAGAAGCTAGTATATCCTCCTGCCTGGAGCTTCTACTTCCTATTATGATTTCTTATTTTTTCCTCTTGACGACCATAGATCCATAGATGTGTCATTCCAGAGGCCAAAGAGAGGTTACACCACATGGCAGAAATGCATGGTAGAACACTCCTTCAGAACCCACATGAGATCTCAGCTCTGGAGCCTTCCAAGCCTTCAGTCCTGTCTGAGGACAGTAGCTGGCTCTCTCAGATAGATGACTAGTTATTAAGTTCTAGAGTTCATTCCAAATCCTTTCCCATTGCTTTGTGGAGATTTGGATCATCCATGTGATAAGATTGCCATTTCAACAACCCACCCCTCACACCCTGATTTCCTAACCCTGAATTTGACCCTCTGGGCAGAGTCACATTATCCTCATGAGATTTGATCCTAGTAAATTGTCTTCACTTTCAGGGAAGAGGTTTCATTTCCCTGGATCGCCAGCAGCACTTATTTATAAACACTGGATGAGTTTAATATCCTTTCCTCCCTGGTATCACTGCCTTCCACCTTTTAATTTTGTGTGTGTTTAAGAACCAGGAAAAAAAAAAACACTTGGGTTTTAAAAAGTTAAATTTTGTTTCAGAAATTGTCAAATGTACCATATTTGTATTAAGAGTCGCCTGGTATCACTGCCTTCCACCTTTTAATTTTGTGTGTGTTTAAGAACCAGGAAAAAAAAAACACTTGGGTTTTAAAAAGTTAAATTCTGTTTCAGAAATTGTCAAATGTACCATATTTGTATTAAGAGTCGGGGATTTTTGTACAATGAATTTACATTTATTTATGGTGACATATTTACGCTTGTGATCAAATGTTAAATTCTTAAATCATATTTGCTGAAGATGGTATTTTGATTTGTACTTTGGGATACCTGTGTTGAGTTGATAACATTTCCATCTCCATTAAAACTGCTTCCAAACTAGTAAAACCAGCATCTTCGTCTTGATTCCTAGTCATATTCCGATCCTTTTTGACCTGTGGAAGGCAACAGTAAAACTAATGACTAGAGAAACAACCTGAAAGAGAATAGAAGATAAAAAGATAGCAGGTCAGTGCACCCTACACTAATGGCTTAGCTTGCTTTTTTTCTCACTGGGGGAATTACATATTCACAAATTGATTTGCAATGAGCAAGAGACAGAAGATAGGTCTCACTCTTGGATTTCATAGTCTCACTGAGTGTGACTACGTACCCTACATCCCTAGTTTTAAGAGGAAGGATGGTAGCTAATATTTAATGAGGCCTAATATGTATAGGCACATGGCAAATCCTATACATTGATTCCTTCTAATCAGCCACAGTCACTATGTGGTATATTCCACGTTTTACAGAGAGGCCATAGTTTATAAAAGATAAACATAGAAAATAAACTGTTTACTTTCACAGTTACTATGTAACAGAGCTGGGATTTGAACCCAGTTCCAAAGCCTGGGCTTTTGCTGTCATACTACAATGAGCTGATCAGCCAGGCAAGACCCCAAAACTAGACTTGGGGATTTGGTCACCAGAATTTCAGGGCGTTGGGTCATTAAGATTGACTAGAGTCTGATATCAGGAGAGAGCCCAGCATGACAGGTGGCTGGGGAATTCCCAGGCTGAAGGGGAAAGGTAGCACCTGGGAACCTCTCACACGCAGCAGAAAAATGTTTGCTAGAAGGATGTGTTTAAGACCAGCATCTGGGGTTTGGAACCTCACATTTCACACAGCGCCAGCTTTCCTACGGAGATGTGTCCTAGAGGCATCGATGTCTCCTCCACTGCACTGGGCAAGACAGTCCCTGCCAGCTCTGATATCCTGATCCGAGGTGATTTCCCTCTGTGTACTTAGGGAATTCTGATGACTTCCCACACTCAACATCTTTCTCAACCATGTGTCACCAACTCCAAAAATTGCCATCAGTCAGGGTCCTATGTTTGAGCTAGTGTCATTGGCAGACTTAGTTCTGAGAGATGCTCAGTGAAAAGGGGGTTCCACGGTCAAATATGTTTGGGGAACACTTCATGTTCTTTCCCCCTCTTGAAGATCCACAATGCTGTGGAATCCTGCAGAACCTAATCAGCCTGGATTAACACCACATCTCCTAGATGGCCATGACCTTGAAAACCCCTTTCTCTTCAACACTAGTCACCTTCTTCTGGAACACACTTTGAACAAACACTGGGCTAAGGGTATGGAAGTCCATGTAAAAATGTAAAAAGAAAAATACTCCCACAGGAGAAGAACCAGAAGAACCATGGCACATAAGTAGTCATGACACTAAGGCACAATTAGGGAAGCAAGGACCTGGCAAAGTATTGAAGGATTTCAAATGGGAGTGGGAAGCATTTTGATGATGGGAGAGAATAGGGTAGCTGGGTGTATTACTTTGCTAGTGCTGTCATAAATACCACAGACTGGGTGGCTTAAACAATAGAAATTTATTTTCTTACAAGTTTTGCAGGCTGGAAGTCCAAGATCAAGATGTCTGCAAAGTTGGTTTCTCCAAGGCCTCTCTTCTTGGCTTTTGGGTGCCCCTCTTCTCCTTGTGTCCTCATATGGTCTTCCCTTTTTGTGTATCTGTGTCATAATCTTTTCTTATAAAGACACCAGTCATATTGGATTAGAGCCCACCCTAATGACCTCAGTTTAACTTAATTACCTCTTTAGAGGCACCATTCCCAAATACAGCCACATTCTGAGGAACTGAGGGTTAGGACTTCAACATATAGATTGTAGGGGGTGGGGAGATAACAATTCAAGCCCAGACACGGGATGGCCCTGGAGAAGGTGCTGTCACTGGGGGTCCTAGACAGTTTCTGGGCTGGCATGCCATTCCTTTGTGAAAACACTTCTCGAACACTATTTGTAAGACTTTATATAAGATTAGGAAGAAAGAGGAAAGGATTATGGGCACATGGCAGTGTAGGAAGCACAAGGAACCTGTCTCTGCACCTAGACAACAATCATACTGGCAGAATCTGTTCGATGTAACTATTTTGGAACTCTGGAGTCTATTGAAGGTTCCTAACTTCCAGGGTAAGGCTTAGATAGTAAT